AGAGACACACAGAATGGCTGAAAGGGGATTTTAATCGACCACAATGACACACAAAAAGGGAAAAATAAAATTTACAATCACGATTATGCACGCAAAAATGACTGAAATGGAAAAAAAAGCAGCTATCATGAGATGCAAAATGACCACAAAGAGACGTAGAATGGTGTCAGAGAGATGCAAAATAACAAGACTGTGACCCAAAATAACCACAATGAACTGAAAAACTAAAACAATGACCAGCACGGAACAAACAACCTGAAGGAGACACAAAGTGACCTCAAATACAAACAGAATCACTAATAGTAGATTTAAATTGACCTAAATGAAACACAAAATGGCCACAAGATGCAAAAAACATTGGTTATCAGGACCAAATTGAAGAACTGTGCATTAAAGAGCTGGTGGGTGAGAAGGAGCAGCTTAACAAAGAAGTCCACAGCTGCAAGGAGGAAAACAGCAAGCTGAAGGAACTCCTGGAGAACATGGAGAAACTGCCAGAGTCCAACCCCATGAAGGACCAGGCCTCCACCGGGAACAAGAAGTCTCCCCTGGTGGCCAAAGAAGATAAAAGCGTCCAGATAGAGCAGCTGGACCAACCCAAGCTGAAGACGTCAAAAGGCTGCCAGAACTGGAGCAGAAGAACGAAGCCCTCCAGGACGAAAAAATACTCCTGAAAAAGGAAAGGAAAGAAATGGAGGCGAAAATGGAAGACCTCGAGAGGCAGAATCAGGACTTGCAGATGAAAAAGGAACTGATGGAGGAAGAGTTGGCCAACCTGCAGCAGCGAAGAGGCAAAGCGTTTAAAGAGGAGACCAGAGAAATGGAGATCAAGGAGCTGCAGGAAGCCAAGAAGAAATTCTAGGAGAAAAACGAGAAGCTGGAGAAAGATCTGGAGGCAGAAAAAAAAAGAAAGTGGAAAAGAACAGCTGCCAGATGAATGGTAGTAAATGGGGGATGGAACAGGAGCTGATATCGCTCAACTATGACAAGAAGCAGCTCAAGTCCTCCAACAAGGCTCTGGAGAAGCAAAATAAGGAGCTGACCACGGAGACGGACAGAATGGTGGAGGAGATGAAGCTTCTGCAAGAACAGAAGCAGGAGCATGAAAACGCAGAGGTGAAGGAGGCCTTCCTCAAATTTAAGAATGAGAAGAAGGTCATTGAGGTGGAAAATCTGAAGCTTGGAGATGAGAAAAAAGAACTGGAGGTTAAGATCACAGCCCTCCAGGAGCCCAGCAAACACCTGGAGTCCTTAATCAAAGTCCTCCAGGAGAAAATTGAAGGATTGGAGGGAAGAAATAAAAACCTCCACGATGAAAATAAAGACCTGGAGGCCAGAAATAAAGACCTCTAGAAGGAGACAGAAGCTCTGGAGCAGGACCAGAAAGCAATGCAGGAGCAGGTTAAAGTCCTGCAAGAAAAGAGCCGAAAAATGGAGGAATGGAAGAAGATCCTGGAGAAGAACAACGAGGAGCTGCAGGAGCAGCTGGTGGAAAAAATGCCAGAAGAAGAGATTCTTCGATCTGTTCAGGAGCTCCAAGCAGAAGGAGGAGGATGAAACGCTCCACCTCCCATCACCCTCCCATCTATCTCCACCTCCCATCACTCTCCCATCTATCTCCACCTCCCATCAC